ATGGTGTTTGGGTTCGGGGTCAAGTTCGAGGTCGAACTCGAACTTTTTGACGAAGTTCAGCCGAACTTGGCGAACCCGAATATCCAACTCTACTTATTAGCACTGTCTATGACTATCTCTAAGGTTAAGTGAAGTGTGTCTTGTATACATTTTTTATTGACAGGCACATGATGATGTTTGTGCTATTTTGAAATGTAACCCTCCCAGTGCTGTTGTTAAGTGAATTTCAAGAGTCTTCAATATATATATATTATATATATATAATATATATAATATATATGTATATATTATATATATACATATACCAAGTAGCTAAATGCCTCCATATTAAATACTCCATACTATACAATATATACCATACATATACACTGTATATTGTATATTAATTAATAATGACACACACTCCACATGAACATTGTCTGGATTTTACATTCAATGGCCTCATACAGCATAGGGTGGTTTCGAACCTTAGAGATTTACAATGTTAGTTTGAAAACACAAATGGCTGGGTAACACATAATAGATAATAACAAATAAATAAAGCTTCAGTACTCAGTAATTTCAGGTGCAATGTGTGTTTTATTCAGCCATGCCAAATGACAGGCAACATTTCAACATGATGTGTGTCTTTATAAAAACATATGATGGCTTGATGAAGACACATATTGTGTCGAAACATTGCTTGTCAGTTGGAATTGCTGATTAAAACACACATTGCACCTGAAATTACAGAGTGCCGGAGTTTTATTTCTTTGAATTAGTTTTGGATCCTTGGAACAAAAACGTTTACTTACAGCATATGTACCAAAAAGTTTTGGGAACTTGATTAGTGCCTCTCCCACTTAGTTTTTGTTTGATAGTTAATAACAAGTCAGTGTAAAATGAGTTAATTGAGGCAGAGTATTGCAGAGGTATCTAGTGACATGCAACTTAACATCCTCATTTACATTCTATAAGATACTATTCTTATTTTCAAGACTTCAATTGATCTATGTACAAACTATAACGTCGCTAAAGTCACATTAATTATGGGAGATACGCAAACACTGTTGTGCTATTCTATCTATACTCTCAATCAGCTTAGCATTGGTTTTCATCAGGTATACAAACTGTAGCACAGTTGTAACTCATATCAAATGCTCAGTTTAAGCAGACTGCACTGTAATTGACATACAAGGGGAGGAATGTTGTAACAACAGGAGGGTAACACAGAGTATACAACAGATCAAAAATACAGTTACTATAAATATTTCAATTTGGTCATAATAAAAAGCACATTTTTTCAGTGATATTGTAAAGCTCTATATGTAGCAATTTATGTGCCAGCAGCAGAGTGCATTTTCAGGACGGCATTGAAGTAAAGCACAATAATGGCATTTATATTGTAATAAGGAGCTAGAAATGTTCTTTCTTGAAGGAATTACCTCTGTCTTGAGTGGTTTGTGTACTATTTCTCACTAACTAGAGCCATTTGCAGGGTGCAGCTATCATAGCATGCCGTAAATTAGCACTCTTAGCTAATCTTTAGAAATATTAGACTTTAAATAGCTTAGAAAGATTCTTGCTAGTGACTCAGAACCACCACCAAAAAAAAAAAAAAAACATATTTGAAAAACTATACCCATGATAACCTGGCAGAATGTAAAAACATTCTAAGAAGCCATTTTAGACTTTTTTTTGTACAAATATACAATACAGAGAACTTTAGTGTCATGTAAAATAGAATAGCAGTTTAGTAGTTAGTGACCCTAGCAGCAGAGCCATATACACCTAGAGATATTCTCACATCAGTATGTGCCATGGATAATGCCAGAAAAGTGTCTCGTAACATTCATCCATGCACACAGTATTTTATAATTACAGTAATTTATAACATTTGCAACAATAAGACAACCCCAACACTCACAGATGGAAAAAAAAACATTTATGTAGTACATATCCCTACACACTTAAGTAGGATCTTTCATTGGCTATGGAGGGTTAGCTACATAAAATGCACCATTCAAACATGCAATTTGAAGAAATACAGAAAAAAAGATAACAACATTTACTTCAAAGTGAGTAATAAGTTGCTCCACATACAGTATACATGTTTTAGAAGTCATATAAAAGCTATATGCAGACTATTTAGGTGGAAAAAAAAAAACACTTCTGCTTTGATGATTTTCATGCACAAATCTCACTTATGCTTTTTTATTTTTAGCATGCAAAGATGAAAGTTATAAAAAAAATTACTTTAAAATGAGCTTGAAACATTTGAACAATAATGTATGTATCATTTTAAGACATCCAAATCACAAAATAATTTTTTTTTTTTCGATAACACTTGTCTTCATTTCATGTGAAGTACAAGTTTATGCTATGCATTAATAGTGATTTGTATAAAATTCTATGCTTTTGTCTCCTGCTATGTGTAATAAGATTGATGTTTTTTACTAAGGTTTTGAGAAAAAGGATTTGAATTTCCTTGGGCATTTGTGTAAAGAATAGGAATTGTTTTTATGTGAACTCATTTTCACAAAACTTACTGTAGGAGAAAATCAAAGAAATATAACTTAAGTAAAAAGCACACAAGAGAAATTCGCCTACTGTGTTCAATAATTTAGACCTTTTTCCAATTGAAAATAAACAGCACAAAAAATATCAAAACTATATTGGGTTACATTTCCTGCAGTGGACTTATCATCATTATATGAGATTTATATGACTTTTAAAAGAAAAAATATACACTCTTAGCATGGATTTATTTTAATAAAGCAACAATGTTTTAAGGCTTTAATGAAAACTGGAAAAAGGTTTACATTCTCAAAATTGTTTGTATTCCCATTGCCCCATTTTCAAATGACTTGCACCACCTGGGGCTCCCTTAGTGACTACTTTCTGGCCCCTCAGCTTTTGCTTGGGTAATGTGGCATTTCTCAATTAGTCCACAGTGGGTTGGGTAAATTAGCCTAGCTCTGTTCAGTCTATTCTCCCTGTTCAAAATTGTGTGAGCTGAGAATGTTAATGAGTTAAACACCACATTGGCAAAGCTACAACAGAGTAAGCTGAGTAAGGCCCTGGGAGACAACTAATGTCAAATTCCATGAACATGGTGCCCACAGACTCTTTGCAATATAATAAATAAATAGAAAAAAAGAGACAGCGCCAGACAACCTATAAAGCAGCAACCCAAAAAGGGAATCCCCCAAAACCCTAAAATACAATTTGCAATATAAGTACTATAGTGGGACATTGAATATGATATGAATTGTTGTAACTTTGAAGAGAATAAAAGGTAACGTGTTTTGCTAGCCAAACATTAGCACATGCATAGATTAAATGTTTTTATTGCATTCTTCCAGCTTTTAACAAATTTACATTTATACATTTCTTGTCATTGGCAATATGACATTTATCATTTAAATTTTGATAACTATATCCTCCAGTACTCTGTATTATTGTTATCTACCAACATTTATTATCTGTACATATGTCAAATGTTGTCACAATACCTGTTAGATTTTAGTGGTAGAAAGAGTATCCAGGCACACCAAATATCTTCAATTGTATTTATTAGGATAAGTGAAGCACCGCAATGTTTCGACCCCTGTTAGATTGACACAACCTTCTAGCATCATTTTTTACATCAACTTGGCCATACTTGCATCATTGTGGCGAGATTAAAGACGTTTGCAAGCCATTCCCACATGTCTCACACCATTCCGACATAATTTCAGATGCTGTTTGCTTGAACTATGTATCTATTTATGATGCAGATACACCCTTCATCACTTCTGATGTGAATTCCCAGCATCATTTCTACAACATTTTTCACACGTCATTCGTTGCAGAAGTGATGCAGATCAAACAAGAGACTAGAACTATTTAAGCTTCCACAAGCTACCTGACTTTTGCCCTGTTGTGGTTTCTCTAGTGCAGGGCTAGGCAACCTTTGGCACTCCAGATGCTGTGAACCACATCTCCCACAATGATCTTAAAGCCATAATACTGGCAAAGCATCATGGGAGGTACAGTCCAAAACATCTGCAGTGCCAAAGGTTGCCTATCCCTGCTCTAGTGTGATCCTCATTCATTTGCATATCTGTTGCCTGGCTCATTGAATGTTTGACTTGTCTTGACTGTTCTTCTCTCTGTATTATTTCTCATTATTTCTCTGTACTTATTTCTCGTTATTCTGTAATCCTTGATTTTGTTGTTTTTTTAGGAACTTAATTTCTCTCCCTGATGTTTTCTCTAAGCATGGCCACCTCTAAGGATCAGTAACACATATCTATTTTACCTTGTGGGCTCTGACTTAATTTTGTGATTTGGTTGACATCCTATCGAACATTACAAAAGGGCCATGGACCCTACAGAGTTAGGTCAGCAGATCAATTCCTGTCAGTCTAAGGTAGAGGAATTAAATTACAGGATGGATCAATTTGCTCAGGCAAACTGAACTGATTGCCCCTAATGTTCACACCTTGTTGGCACAAATACCACCTTCCTCTAAGGTATTTACTGTTATTGACTTGGCAAATGCATTTTTCAGTGTCCCCCTGGATCCCGATAGTCAGTTTTTATTTGCATTTACACATAAACACAAGCAGTACACTTGGACAGTATTGCCACAGGGCGCACAAAACTCACCCACTATGTACAGCATGGCTATGGCCCAGATTGTTGAAGAGTGGAAAAGGCCAAATAACGTAATTTTATTGCAGTATATCGATGACCTACTCCTATGTTGCGATAATATGGAATCTTGTATTTTAAACACTCTTTCCTTACTGAAATTCTTGGCAAAAGCAGGCTGCAAAGTGACAAAAACGAAACTGCAAGCTTGTGTAGAGAAAGTTATTTTCCTAGGACATTGCATTTCCCAGGGATAAAACATCTCACGGAGAGTAGAAAGACTGCAGTTTAGTGATGTCTCGAACGATTCGCGAACGGTTCACCACAAACGGTTCACCGCGGACTCATCATTGAGTAAACTTTGACCCTGTACCTCACAGTCAGCAGACACATTCCAGCCAATCAGCAGCAGACCCTCCCTCCCAGACCCTCCCACCTCCTGGACAGCTCACTAAGAATGCAGCTTCTCAATGAATGTAAATGGATGCTGTCCAGGAGGTGGGAGGGTCTGGGAGGGAGGGTCTGCTGCTGATTGGCTGGAATGTGTCTGCTGACTGTGAGATACAGGGTCAAAGTTTACTCAATGATGAGTCAGCGGCGAACCGTTCGTGGCGAACCGTTCGCGAACCGTTCGGCGAACCGTTCGGGACATCACTACTGCAGTTCAAAATATTAAACCCCCCCTGCAGCCTAGCCGCACATTTCTCGGTTTGATATCTTACTGTTGTCCTTGGTTGCATTCTGTAGCTATCTACATGCAACCACTGTATGATTGTCTTGCCAACGAAAACAAACCATTTAAATTAACCCATGCGGCAGAAAATGCCTTCAATACCCTTAAGTTACTAGTAACGTCAGCTCCGGCACTGGGTCTCCCAGATTACAGAAAGAATTTTACCTGTTCTGTACTGAGCAATCAGGTTATGCTACATCTGTCTTTACACAGGACCATGGTGGTAAACAAAGACAAATAGCATACTACTCCACCAGATTGGACCCTGTTGCCAAGGGTTCCCCCTCATGTGTTAGGGCAGTGGCGGCTGTTACTGCCCTCCTGGACAAAGCCACTGATATTGTCTTAGATAACCTGGTGACCATATACACACCGCATGATATCAACAGCATACTGTCACAAGTTCAACCAAAACACATATATACTGCAAGGCATCTCAGAATGCAATGTGCCTTGCTTATGCCACCTAATGTTACTCTTAAAAGGTGTATGGTGTTAAATCCATCTACATTACTTCCCCTGGATTTAAAAGAGGGGAGTGGGGATAGTGGGAATGGTACTTTTACTTCTGATCTTTTTGTAAATTCACTTTCACCAGATAAGTTAGATGATGCCCAGGTACCCCATGATTGTGCAGCACTAATGGCACAAGAAACAGCAGGTTTTTTGCATGTAATTGATTCCCCATTATCTAATGCAGATTTTGAGTTTTTTGTAGATGGTTCCCGATATGCTGATGAGAAGGGTAATTTCCACACTGGATATGCTGTAGTCTCTGCACATGAGGTAATAAAAGCTGAACCACTCGCTCCTCACTGCTCTGCACAGGAGGCAGAGCTGAAGGCACTCGCTGAAGAGTGTAAAATGACTTCTGGTAAGACTGCTAATATTTATACAGACTCTCGCTCACTATGCTTTTGGTATAGGCCATGATTTTGGCCCTATATGGCGGGCTGACCTGATCACTAAAACCACCCAGCTACACAAACTGCTGAGAGACAGGAGAGATGTTAAAAACACCCTTAATGCAGATTGTAACCCTGAAATCACTGTCTTATCTAAAGCCGAATATTCTGCCCTAGCGTACACCTTGGTAGGAGTCCCAGGCTTAGCACTTTATAATACCCGAGTAGTTAATGCTGTAGCCTGTTCCCTTGCAAAAGGTTTAAATGCCACTTCACAGACCCTAGAAGAGCTACTTATGGACAACCAGGCAAATAAGAAGGCAATCCTTGAGAATAGAGCAGCCATTGACTACTTACTAATGAAACATGACTTAGGCTGTGAATTTATTGAAGGTATGTGCTGTTTTAACTATGGCACTATGATCCATAAACATATAAAAGATTTACATGACTTAGTACAGGATATCAAACAGGATACTGGCTTCTTTGGGGATTGGGATTGGACATTTGGGCTAGGAACATGGTTGACTTTACTTATTAAGAAAATGTTGTACTTTTTGCTATTACCTGTATTTATCATTATGGCCATTTTTCTAACCTTTAAATTTTTTTCATGTCTACTAACCTCTCTATGTAAAAGCAAACCTACTGTTGGTCGTACCTTAACTTACATTACAGCTCCGACTTCGGAAAGGTTTTATGATGTTACTTCGCATAACAAATGAAGGAACTCTCCTTCGCAGATTATGTTGGTCTCTCAAAGGAACCGTGGTGAAGCAATAAATGAAAGTCCCACAGGCTTTGGCTAGCAGACCTGGAAATACCTTGGACATTTGGGTGACCCTTGGATCAAAAGAGGGGATTGTGATAGAATTTATCTTGATTCCAAGGCTCAAGCTTATAGGTGTCATATAATGATATCCTATATTAACATTGGCTAACTTGGACTCAGGAAATGTTTGATGCTTAAACAACACTTAAGACCATATATGTCTAGTTCCCGGGAGCAGAGAGCCCCCACCTAAGATGTCTCTTCTCGAATCTTTTTGTTCTTTCTTACCTTGGAACTTATTTGTTATGTGTACATGACGTTCATCCCTATGTCTTATCTTTACTCCCTTCCTATTACTGTTCTAAGAGTATTTGCATGTAAGCACTTACTTTTTAATGGATAAAACCCAGCTGATGAATAAAATGTCAGAGGCTTATTTTGAATAACAACAGGTGTCTGGTGTCTAATTCTCGCTTCTCCAAGTGCACTTGTAACAACAATTTGGGCTTCCTATGAATATAACAAAGATCAACATTTCTGATCCACAACACAGGTTTAGGCTTTGAGTGCTTAAATTTGGTTATAAAAAAAGTGTTTCTTTAGGTTTTGGATATTTTAGAGTTAGGGAAAAGAGTGTTTATGACGTTTGAAGGGTTATTTGCAAAGTTCTCACCCTCCTATGTGTTCTGTAAACCAGTCAGCCTTCTATAATTGATACTAGAGTTGCATGCGCTGTTATATTGTGTGCATCACTCAGTGTTGTCCCTGCTCCTCCTGCAAGGCATTTGGTGTGTTACCGTCTGTTAGTTGGCAGATGGGAAGTGATTCCATTCCACCTCCTGTCTAGCCTCATACTCTAACAGTTGTGACAGCACAAAGTTTAACACCTTCTATAACTGTCCCTTCAGCTTTGCTATCAAGCATAGATGGTTGACTAGACTACAGAAGAACTGGTTAAAACGCCTGGTACTTATCTACCCACAAGCTCACTCAAGCTCCAAAAAGGTACATTATAAGTGCTAAAAAGAGACGAATTAGGCAGAGGTGCCTACTCTGCCTAATGGGAAATCCATCCCTGAGGATCTCAGGTTCTTGATTTTTTTTAAAGGGTCCTAATAAACTGTCTACTGTTTTAGATATACCTCAACCCAATGGGTTAAAGGCAATACAATGCTTTATTGGTTTTCTTATTATTACAGGCACTTAATAAAATGATTTTTCTCTATCTTGGTTCCAATAACCTACATGACAAAAAAAAGGACCCAAAGCTAATTCCTGGTCTGCCGGGAGACCTTACCTTAGTTTTTTATTTTGTATGTTTATAATAAATGTTTGTAATATAGACTATATTTTATAAATGAGTATATTATTCTTTTAATATATTTTTTGTGTGCCTTAGAAAATCTTTTCAGGTACTACAAAAATGTGGGTGTTACCCATCCGTTCCACTTCACACCTTGCTGAGCAAGATGTAAAGTTGGATAAGTTATTGACGCCATATTATCTGGTGGTAACCTGGTGTTAGCATTTCTCATCTTTCTTTTATTCTCTATGGGATAGTTTAAAAACCATAGTAGCCAATAATCAACAGTATTTCACACTTAAATGTTGTCACAAGGAGACAATGGAGATGCTAATTTTACCAACAGCCATTTTGGCAATTAAAGGCTTTTTTGTAACTTATTCTGACAAGCAAAGAAATGTGTCTAAAATCAGCAGAAACTATTTGCAATGCAAAAATACATAACAGATCTGCTTTAGTAATTATGAATGTTAAAACACTATAGCTCAGTGATGTGAATTCTAAATTATATTCAGCATTTAGCATCTAATTGTGAACTATAAATGTTTAATCTTTTTTTTTGCAGATTGGGTTTATGGTAATTGTCACATATGAAGGTTTTTTTTAAGTTTCAGCACACACCCATCAAGAATATTACTCTAAAAGAAATTGTAATAGAGATATTTTAATTAGTCCTTTAAACAAACTCTTAATTTATACCAAAGTTATGACTGTGTTGCCCTTTTCACTTATCTTCAGACTCTATGAGCTATGGTGACAGAAAAAGAGATATTTTTCTGACAGCATAACAAGAACTGCTTTGCAAAGTATTAAATCTCTGAGCACGGCAGTCATATTTCTGCCTCTGCCGCCTTAATATCTGGTTGTTGGAAAATATATTTACTCAGTTTATATTACTTCTACGTTGATTTTGAATAGACATTATGGAAGAATGTGTTATTTCACTGGTTATTGGGGTTAGATCTATATTAAAGGACCTGCTTGTCCCTGACAAATAATCAAAAAATTTATTTAAAAATAAACCTATTTCTAATAAATAAAATTTTATATTTAGATACTAACTGGCTCAGTGTGGTTTTAGTTTTCTGTAATTATAAAGTGAATGTGTCTACAGTGAAACTAATTTTACTATAAATGTACCATAAGCCCAATTTATGAAATATGCCAGTGAGATTTATAAATATACAAGAGTTACCAGCCAGAAATGACCTGCAACAAGTCTTTTATAATAACTAAACATTGATTTTAACTTGTTTTGGACACTACCTCAAGGAGTTTGCCCTTAATAAGAATTGAGTCATAAGAAATACAATGAGATATGCAGGCATTTATATTTGTATATTCAGTAGTTGTAGCATCAGACAATATTACCAGTAAGTGTCCCTGGGCAAGACACCAAATGATATGTACCTACCGACCTTAGTAATATGAGAGTAACATGAACCAAGTGAATCATGCTGGCTCGGACATAGCTTGGATTAAAAGGATGCGTCAGATGCTAGGGAACAAGGACAATGTGATGACAAGTGGGCTACTGGAACAAACCATTCCTGGACATGAAGTGAGAACATAGACTTGTTTGACTGCTACTACAACAGCAGACCCAGTGAGAGAGGGTTACATAAAACTTAAGTGGGACCAACGGATGAATAAGTGACCTTCATCTACACTAACATCAAAACAGCTAATTACACAATCTTTGAACATTGTCAAGAGGAAGCTAGTGTCACAACTAAAATTAGATGGACTACACAGAACAACACACGAACAATGAGGAGGAATACATTTTCATGCCCACACTCATACTTACAGAGGGTTGCCAACCTGATCCTCTGCC